TCGATGGATGGATGTATATGTCTGTGTGCGTGTGCATGCACACACATTCATAGGTACATGTGCCCTATGTGCGGTTACGCTTCCTTACCACTTGTGTTTGTTTTAATGTATGCAGTGCATACGTTAATAAGACGACGATCCCTATTTGAGAAAACGACACCTTTTCTGTTTTCTTTCTTCATCGTAAGGAATCTAAAAATACTTTTAGTTTTAATAAAACATTATTAATCGCTTATTTATATTCGTCGTATTAATTACGATAAATCTTTATCAAAACTAGAGAAAATATCTGATATAAATTAGTGATAACGATTGAGATGATTTTATGATATTTCCATATACTCGTCTTTTCATCTTCCTCTTATGTAAACTTAATCATTTAGAGGCTGTTTGTTTACCTTTTAATAGTTTCATTAAGAGAAATCATCTGAATCGCTAAGAGGTGAATCTTGTTTGATAAAAAAAAGTTTGTCTTTTAATGATTCTAAAACCCTCTGAATCATCTTGTATCTTGGGCATCTCTTAACTATTCAGCGCCCTAATTACAGTCTAAGCAATTACCAGTCAAATACATTTCATTTTGTACTACATCATAAGAGCCTTTTAACCATTATGTACTAAACCATTTTAGCAACTGTCAAACAGTCTCTTATTTTAGTTAGCTGAAGTAAAAAAAAGGTTTAGCAACCAATTTATAAACTGAGCGAATCGAATCCCTTCAAACGTTTAATCAAATAAGGTAAGAAAATATATAGTCATAGATCCAAAATTCAGTACTCGATAAGCATTCCAGACGTTAAACCATGCACAGTTCAGTATGAGGTTTTCAGAAAACAAGTTTTTTTGAACCTGATTCAGATAAGACGAGCAACTCAAAACCCTAAATATCCGCTCTTCATACATGATTAAATTTTCATGACGACTTGTATTATTACGAGTTTCCAAAGCCCGTTTGATTTTATGATAAAACCAATACGTTTATAGTATTTTTCTTAAAAATACTGAAAACATCATTGTTGAAAACGTGATACGTTTTATTTGGTCACCGTATTTATTTACATTCGTTTCTTTTTTAAGTTCCTCATATTCTATTTCTTTTATCTACTTTTAAAAGTGTCGTACTTTTTGTTTTAAATCGTTAAAAGAATGTGATATTGTTTTCAACGTTAGTTTTTTTTATTTTCCTTTTGTTAAATATTTTTTGCTGATACTTTCTTCAGACGTGTTTTACTAAACTAGAAGGATGCTCACATAACATAGCGAGATAAATCTCAATTTTAATGTTCGTTTTATTATTTATCTATGTCGATATAATACGGTTTTTAGTGGTTTTGAAAAACGATAATGTTTTTATTTTTGAATAAAATATAAATTTAAATACATCATAAAAATGTGGAAAAATATATCGATATTAGTATCAAATTTACTATTTAAAGTTATGGTTTTTTTTAATTTTCTTTAATTCAATATTATATTTATAATTTAATTTAGATTGAATAACGAAGTAATTTATTTATCGTTTAATAAGATAAATTTTATAAAGATAATAATTAAGTATTTTATTATAGCTAGTGATTATTCTAATTATATTTTAGATTTTTTATATTCAAAATGAGATGTCTATCATATATTTGATTATGTTTATTTATAGTTAGTTACATAAATTCAAAAATGAAGTCTTAATAAATTGTACTTATGCATAATTTACTTGTGATGTTGAACTTTAAGTGATATGCATCAACAAATAGTATTTTATGCACAAAAAATTATTTTTAAAATTTTTTGTCAAATGTTTTATAATATAGTATGAATTACACATGAATTTGTTAAAAACGTAATATTTTTATGTTAAATCTTTTAAGTAAATACAAACAGAGAAAATATAGGAATAAATGATTGGTAATTGACCAAAATAGTTAATCCGTCATGTCAAATTCACCTTTTGACCAATTTTTTAATCGAATTCTCATTTTAGGTATGAGCTGTTTGACAGTTGCTGAATGGTTTGGTGTAGAATGATTATATGGTCAGAATGATTAATAAGCTCTCATGATATAGTGCAAAATGAATTATAATTGTTTGGTAATTGTTTACAGTGAAATTAGGGCGTTGAATGGTTAAAGGGTTGTCCAAGATATAAAACCATTCAGAGGATTTTATAACCATTAAGAGACAGACTTTTTTTTTTGCCAAACAAGATTCACCTCTTAACGATTCAGATATTACATCTTAATGAAATTATTTAAAAAATAAACAAACAATCCTGTAAACTTTACATATATGTCTTACGTATTCTGGTAAACTCAATTTTTAAATTAAAAAAAATTATTTAAATTTGCATAAGAATTTATGTATTGGATCCAAATTTGCATTAATTTTTTTGTATTTTTTAATCTAAAATTTGGTTTTAAGTAAATTTATAAACCATTTACATGAACTTTAAATTGAATGAAAAAGTAACGTAATTTAACTTAATTCTTATTTTGGATAACGTATTTTTAAAATTTTTATTTTAGTACCTAAGATGTAAAGTTTTAAACATTTAAGTACTTCGGTAACCGGTTATCATGCTGATGTGCCGAGTGATGTGGTATCCGGTTAATGCTTCAACAAATAATACTGAGTTTGACACCACAGCAGCAAAGTAACCGGTTAATGTTTCAACCGGTTATCCATATACTTAAATATTTAGAACTTTACATCTTAAATATTAAAATAAAAATTTATAAAATAAACTATCCAAAATAAAAATAAAGTTAAAATACGTTATTTTTTTCATACAATTTATATTAAAAAATTTAGTAAAAAGTGAATTTGTTAAGAAAAATGATGTAAAGATGTATTCTCCAATCCCAAAAACACACATATCCCCCTCGTTAAAATGCCTTTCAAGTCAATGTTCTCCCCCTCCCCCTTTTCCTTGTTTCCATCAATCCCTTTTTTCTTTATTCTTTTATTCTATTAAGTATCATTATTTTATCAAGTATTATATATATATATATATATATATATATATATTTGGGATCATATGACATTAAAGGTTTTTTGTGAGACCCGTAAGACCAATTCTCAACCATTGGATTAAATCTACAATCTGAACATTCATAATTACAAATTGCCACAAGACTTCTCAATAATCACAAAATTGTCACCGTGCAACTTTAGACCATTAGATCATTAGCTTATAAAGTTGATCAATGAACATAAATTGGTCTTACGTGTCTTACGAAAAACCATTGGTCTCATGTGAACCCAACCCTATATATATATATATATAACAATATAAACTTGTTGGGGGTTTTGTTATGTAAATAAAAAGTTATATTTATTTCCTCTCTTTGTCTCCCTCTTTCTTTCCCCTCGGGGTGCCTTGGATTCTGGTAGTTGAGGTTTCCTCCTACCCGAGCGCTTCATTGTTGCTGTTTTAGCGTTTTAGTGTTTTATCTTGATCTGGAGGGGTCTCCCCCCTCCCTATCAAAAAAAGTTATATTTAGATATATATATAAATTTAAATAAGATTTTAATTAAATTTATAAATTTTAGATGAATATATGGTTATTTTCTAATAGTTTTATAGAGGTCGTAGATTTAACTAAAGTGTTTTTTCTCAGTTGCTTAATCGTTTGGTACATAATGATTAAGTGATCAGAATGATTACGAAACTCTTATAATATAGTGCAAATGAAATATAATTATTTTGTAATTATTTAGAATAAAATTAGGGTGTTGAATGGTTAAGGGAGGCCTTAGATACAAAATCATTTAGAGAGTTTTAGAACCATTAAAAGACGGACTTTTTCTTTTCCCAAACAAAATTCACTTCTTAACGATTCATAGGTTGTCTCTTAATGAAACTATTAAAAGGTAAACAAACAACCCTTAGGGTGCAAATGAAATATAATTGCTAAATGGTTTTGTTCATAATGATTAAATGGTCAAAATGATTAAGAGACTCTTATAATATATAGTGCAAATGAAATATAATTGTTTGATAATTATTCAGAATGAAATTAGGGTACTGAATAGTTAAGGGAGACCCAAGATACAAAATCATTCAAAGAGTATTAGAACCATTAAAAGACAAACTTATTTTTACCAAACAAGATTCATCTTTTAGCGATTCAAATACCGTTTTTTAATGGAACTATTAAGAGGTAAACAAACAACCCCTAAAATCTCTTTTAAGGTTATATACTTAAATTTGGGTAAAAAGTTGAGTACCAATAATTTCAACTGGTCTCATACAAAATGTGTTTCCTAACCAAAAGGATGGTGCTTGAATGGTTTGAGCTTGGGCTCCAAAGATTAAAAGTGCCTGGAAATCGCAGATTCAAATCCAATGAGGAATAAGAATCCCCTTGTGGCCACGGAGGTTCAAATACGATAACTCCATGTTATCTGCAAAGCATGTGGTTGTTCTGGGATTAGTTGGCTCACATAACAGGTTAAATATCTGTTAATAAAAAAATGTGTTTCCAATGACACCAATGTAAAGGAGCATTTTACCGGTAAAAGGAACATTTTCCTTGCCCAATATTATGGCACTATGCCCACTTTGTCTTTTCTAATCCATCAACTTTAGTCTCTTTGACATTTCAAGATGATATGTTACTTTTTGTTTTATGCTTTTTGCCATAAGTAACCCCATATCACATCATTTAACCTTACTTTAACCTTTAATGGAATTCCTTCGTTCAAGAATCAATGCCTTCAATTAGCCCCTATACGATAATCCAAACAAACTGCTACCGGCTTTACTTTTAACAGGTCGAAAACCTCTAAACTTTACTCTGTAACATCTTACACGAGTTCCAGTCAGTAAGACAAAACGTCGTGATGTATATTTAGTAACCCTGTAGTTTCCTATTTCGGTGTCACGAATCTTTTGGAAAAAAAACACGACTCGTGTTCCACAAGCTTAAATCGATAATTAAAGAAGGTATATACAGTCACGTGTTACAAAGATATCAAACGTTTAAAACAAGAAAACCGATGCTTATTATTATCTTACACATTTGTCACGAGCATAAGATTGAGGGACTTATTTTGCCATTTTCATAACATGATGTGGGTTAAGTGTAATTTAACCATAAGTTGACACAAGGTTATATAAAGTGAAAGGGAAGCAAGAAGAAAGTGTAGATAAAGTGATTCAAAGAAAAAAAACACACCAACAAGATTTTCTTGTTTTTTTTACTCTCTCTCTCTAGAAATTGGAAGTTAGAGAGAGAGAGAGAGAGAGTTTTAGAGCAATCCAACAATGGAGATCACCTCAAGATTACATGAGAGAGAAAACCCATCTCCGGCGAACTCTCCGACCAGCCACGCCAGCAGTAGCAACAGCAATGGACATGTCGCCGGCGGTGGCGCCACCGTCCAAACACCACCATTAACACCAAGACCCGTTTCGAGATCCGAACCAAGTCCATACCCAACCACCTTCGTTCAAGCCGACACTACTAACTTCAAGCAAGTAGTCCAGATGCTAACCGGATCCTCCGAAACCGCCAAACATGCTTCATCAAAACCGACCCAACAACCAGATCCGGCTCCGGCGAAGGTATCCATACCACCAATCAAAACGGGACAACAAAAGAAACAAGGGTTCAAACTATACGAGCGTCGTAACAGCTTGAAAAACGGGTTGATGATTAACCCTAATTCGGTTCCCAAATTCGGAAACGGGCACGGGTCGTCGCCCCGATTTCACGAGATTCTATCTCCGAGCATTCTTGATTTTCCGTCGCTGGTTCTCAGTCCGGTGACGCCGTTGATCGAAGACCCGTTTAACAAATCGTCGCCGTCGGTCGGTAATTCCTCGGAGGAAGATAGAGCAATTGCCGAAAAGGGGTTTTACCTTCACCCATCGCCGAGGGCGGCGACACCGCGAGGGGCGGCGGAGCCACAGCTGTTGCCGCTGTTTCCGGTGAGCTCGCCTCGGGTTAACGGGTCGCCGTCGTAGATAAGGAATAATTATGGATGTTGAAATTGAAGGTTAGATATCTTTTGCTTCAATTGTACAATTTGGATCTCTGCGATTCCATTTTTCTCAGAGATTAAAAAAAAACTTAAATTTAATTTGTATTTTTTTCCCATTTTTTAATTTTAATTTAAACTTAAATTAAATTAAAAAATTAAAATCAGAATGTTTGGTTATATCATGGGATTTGTAACGGTAATGGTTTAATGATATAGAAAGTGGCTTATTCAGTAAACTTTGAGAGAGAGTTTTATGTAGAAAATTAATTTTTTTCAAATCTGTGTTTTTCGATTAAAAACACGTTCATTCCATCTATAAAAAAAGCTTCCTAGATGGAATTTTTTCCAATCCATACGAACGGACAAATTAATCCACATAAACAATTTTATTCATACATGACTTAATAGAAAATCAACCTCAATATTAATATTGTGAAGAATCTCTTTTTAACTCAAATAGAAATATTAAATTAAGTGTGTTGATATAATAAGATATATAAAAGTAATAAATTTAACTAATTTATATAAATTAATTAATATACTCAAAAAATTTATGATAATTAAATAATTAGTTGTGTACCTTCGCAATGTGATTGGAGCCGTGAATTTTTCATCGGTAAATTGCAATTGGAACCATAACTTTTGTTTATTCAAATTGTATTAATATGTAAAGACCACATGTAACTTATATCATCGTTAAATCTTCTCTAATAAAACTTCAATCACATATATTTAAAATCCAACATATTTAAAAGACTTCACAAATGTGTTTGATTTACACCAAGAGCAAAGAATCAAAAGATCGAGAGCGAGACCGAGAGTTCTAGAGCAATTGAATGAGAGACATGAGTTTGAATCTCACATTAAGGGACGAGGAGAATTGGTGAAGGCATGAGTGAAATGTGTCAAAAGTATTATGGGAACATGAAAAGAAAAGATAATAATATGTATTGTTAACTTGTACTATATGTTATTTTAACTGTAGATTAAGAGATTTTAAGATTGAATGCATAAAATAGTAGYATTTAATGCATTATGAGTTGTTTTTAAGACTTTTAAGATTTTGTGCATAAATATATAGTATTTTATGCATTAAAAAATATTTTTAAAACTTTTGACAAATCTGATTTGTAAGGTAATATAAATATAATATAAAGATTTGTTGCCATAAATCATGTATTGAAAAAACGTATTCCAAATTTTGAAAAAAAACAGTCAAAATAAATGTGAATAATGAAGTAAAATTAAATGGTAGAGCCTTTTTTGGTGTAGAATCAATGTTATTTATATCATAGGTTTATTGGTAATTATAATAACTACATAATTATCAAAGGTTCTTAATATCCTCATTAAACATGTTTTAAATCTTTAATTATCCTTTTTTTTAACTTATTTTCGTCAATCGGTTTTTTTTTTAACGTCCGTACCATTAGTGGAAAAGAAATCGGCTGTTTGACGGTTGCTGAGTGGTTTGGTGCAGAATGATTAAGTGGTCAGAATGATTAAGTGACTCTCATTATACAGTGCAAAATGAAATATAATTGTTTACAATGAAATTAGGATGCTGATTGATTAAAGGCTCATGATACAAAATTATTCAGATGGTTTTAAAACCAGTAAGAGACAGATTTTTTTTGTCCAAACAAGATTCACCTCTTAACGATTCAGAGACTACCACTTAATTGAACTATTAAAAGATAAACAAACAACCCCTAACTGTTTTGTATCTAAATATTAATTTAATTATGTGTGTGTGTATATATATATATATATATATATATATAATTTTTATAGATTAAATGAACTGTTTATGGTTTTAGGGAAGTCTCGGTTTAGCTGATAATATGCAAAAACCACTACTCGACGATTGAGACCTATTTAATAATAAATGAGATACAAACCGTTGCAATTTTGTAAAGATGATTATACATCATACCTTTTCCGTCTATATAGAACATGTTATGACATGCATCTAATTTCTCGTGTATACATATACACACACACACACACATCTTTATGTATGTGGTTATGCATATGTATGTAAGAGTGGAATCTGATGAGACCAACCAGTTTTCATGTGGACCGTAAGAAACAATTATGAAGTTCAGTATGTATCCTGTGAAATTTTGGTGCATTTTTCTTAATGAAGGTTTGTTGCGTTTTTTCTTGTAAAGGTTCGATATATTTTATCTTGGAGATTCTGCAATTATCAATCTAATTTAAAGCTTTAAAGTTGTCTTATAAGAACTGAATGATATCACATAATCTCATATATATATATATATATATAGAGAGAGAGAGAGAGAGAGAGAGATAAGCAATCAAATGCAAACCACTCATATTTGTACAAACTGTGCAAACCATCTTTATCCGTCGATTTCATTGTTTAATCTTATGAAAATTTTTTCATGAAATTGTTTAATCTTATAAAATTGTTTCATAATATTTTTTTCATGAAGTTGTTTCATATATGATTATGAAAATTTTCATATAATACTTATGAAATTTTAATGAAACTGTTTCATGTATTTCTCTAAAATTAATATAATGAAGATGATAATATCTATGATTAATATTTTTCCACAATAAAAATAATTAATCAATCTTTCATAATTACAAAAAAAAAAATGAACAACACGAAAAATTATGATTGATTTAATGAGGTTTGTACAAATAACGTGATTTGCAAAGTAAACATTATTTCTCTCTTTCTCTCTCTCTCTCTCTCTATATATATATATATATATATATATGTATATATATATGGGTCCATTCAAAGGAGAACTGATTAACTTGTGATAACTGTGAGATCTAATCTCAACCACAATCAATAGATAAATGAGTAAACTAATATTTTTATAATTTGACTTATAATTATAATTAAGGGGAATTTTAGGTATTTTAAATTTTTTTATCTCTCCTACCTCCGGCCTCCAACGAACACCGTATGATTCCCAAAATACACCAAGATACATAATATGATACCCAAAATACATACAATGTGATACCTAAAAAACGTTAAGTAAACTTTGAGACCATTGTGATACCAAGTGTGGTACCACTATGATACCTATGTTGTATTCATATGTATGTGTGTGTATAGTGTGCACAATGCATGTTGTATATGTGCAATGTGTATGTGTGTTGCAAGTCTGGAGGTTGGGTTGGAGAAGAAGGTTGGGATGGAGATGACCACAGGAATTGAGGGTTTTCCCGGATGAAGGGTGATCGATTTAGGGGGGGGGGGTCGAGGGGAGTATCGATGGAGATGGTGGTCAGTGGCGGGGATGGAGGAAGGGAGATAGGTAATGAGGGGGTTACAGGGACAAAGATGGGGCTAGCTGTCGGAAATGCTCACATGTGCGTGTTTAGTGGTCGATCATCGGAGACGGCGTCTTGGTCGGACAAGATGATCGGAAGAGGTCACCGGAGTGGTGGTGGGTGCAGTAAAAGGCCACCGGATTTGGTCCCTGTGTGTGTATGTATATATATACATATACATATATTAAAATTTTAAAATAATTAAAGTAAATTGAATAATCAACACAATTTAATAATTTACCATTTGTTTTATTTTAGTAAATAACATTAATTATCTAAAATGATTGGTTCATATTAGATCTCACAGTTACTACAAACTTTTTAATTCTTATTTGATTAGACATATATATATATATATATATATGTGTGTGTGTGTGTGTAAAATTAAAGATATGAATAAATAAGGAAGCTTAAAAGTGAGGTTAGATGGTGGGATGCATCACATTCATATTCCAAGCAACCATCAATGCAACATTAACACTTTTATATAAAAATATTATCCTTTAAATATAGAATTCAACCTCAAATCTAAAATATAATACCAACACTTTGATTATTTAAAAATGAAGTTATATTATTAATTTAAAACTGAATCTGATTCGTATACTTATATTATATCGTCAATCATTAACAAATTAAATTACTGATCTGTGTTTTCATAATAATAACAGAATAAGAAACTCGTTTGTAATTTTTTTTACTGGTTGGATCAATTCTTAAAAACAATCCCTTATAAACCCATGATCGATACCCTCTTTTAACTTACTTTTTTACGAAAACATCGTTTCTTATAAAACTTTTTTTTTTCAACGGTATTTACACGAACTTTAAAATGAGCCATGGAATATATGAAACTATATGTATCTGTACGCAAATATTGAATTACATTCCTGGTTCATATGGTCTACTGGTTGTTATGACTAAGGTCCCGCATTTATTACATTCTTAATACATGTGGTTTTAAAAAACACACACCTTGAATTCCTCCTCTTAACGTCGTGTCCCTTTGTTCTTCTAGTGACGCCTCGTGTCTCTCACGTGATTGACATGAGGGGCAATTTCGTCCAACGTTTCATTTGATTTTATTTACTCTTTTTTTTTCTATAAAAGACAAAAACCCAAAATTAAATTTCAAACCAAACAGAAAACAGATGTTCTGAAAGCCTTTCAAGAACCCTTGGAGTGTCTATTTCATATCGGCGTAGAGCTCTTCTAGGATTCAGGGTTTCGTACAAAGGCAAAGGATTAAGTTACGGAAATTGAGCAAGAGAAAGAAGTGGTAGAGGGTTCATTTGGGCTCGTTTTCTTTGTTCATCTGTGTCTCTCCTTCAAACTTTATGTTCGATCTCTTTCGTGTCAAAAAGGATAGAATACGACGATCTTAGTCTTTGATTTGAACTCCATCTTCATCTCCTGGTTTCATCGTCAATTACTGCTTTAGATTTATGTTTAGTGCTGTAATTTAGATTCAGGGTTTTTCTTGCTTTTATTTACTTGTAACGTTTTGTATTATAAGTTTACTCGAATGAATTTGTGTTGGTTAGTTTTTCACTCGTTTACGAGTTCAAGAAACGATGTTTATATGGTTATTTTTTTAAACTGGGTTCTATTTGAATTATTGGGTCACTTCATTTACCTTGTAAATGGTCCCTATAGTGCCTTTACCTGACCAACTACCTAATACTACGCACGCTCATCGAACAGTGCTTTTTAGCTTTACACCCAACTACGAACAACATCTGTAAACTTCATTAAGTATAGTAATGGTCATTGTGGCTTGCATTTTACTTTGTAAATAGTCCTTGAGTTTAACACTATTAATTAAGCTAGGGACATTTTCGTCTTTAAACAGAAAAATACAAAGAACTGGTGAAAAGACAATAATACCATTCACTTAACTGATTATTTTTTTTATTTTTAACAGAGTTAATTAGAAAGCAAAATGCAAACAACAATGACTAGTAATATTCTTAAAGCATCTCCAACAAATTCTCCAAAATAAATAAAATATGGAAAATGGAGATTTAGAACGGATTTTTATGCTTCAAGAGATTCTTTAAAACTCTCTAAAACGGAAAAAGTAAATAAGAGATCGTTTTTTTTTTCTCCAAATATACAGAACACGCAAAAAAATATGATTAATCATGTGAGATAAATATTTTTCGAATATTTTCATTAATAAAAAACTTTAAAAATAAATATTTAAAGATAAAAATAATATTTTTAATAAATGAATAAAATATTTTAATATGATAATCAACCGAATGCAATTTTTTTTTTTTTTTTTTTGGATATTTTTAACGAAAAACTAAAATTGCGGTTTATTGTATTAAAAAGGAAAAAAGGTGGGTCCCAGGCAGGAAGATATTTGGAAGTGGGCAGGCGACTTTGAACGGTCATGATTTGACCTGCAGCCTGTCTTCTTTGAACAGAACGGTGCCTATGCCTACGTTATCTTTTTTTATTTTTTATTTTTTATTTTTTATTTTCTTAATTTATTTCTTTTGTTTTTTGGGAAAAAAATGAAAATTTGAAATTTATATCCTGAAAATATTTTTTTAACCTGCATATAAAAAAAAAATTAATACCAACATAAGATTGATGTTTGATTGATTTGAGTTTAGATTTCAAAGATCAAAAGTACTTATAGGTCTCAGATTTAAATTTAAAGAGGAATAAAAATTCTCTTGTGGCCAAGAAGATTCAAATACAGTGACTCCGATCTATCCGCAAAGCAGGTAGTCTTTCTGGGATTAGTCGATTCGTATAGCGGATTGGATATTCAGGTTAATAAAAGAAAGTAAATACTGATAATTTATTACAACAATGGATCTAATATATATTTTTTTTCAAATTCAAAAATTATTACCGTCTTTGTTTCAAAATAAATGTTCATATTATTATTTTAATTTGTCGTAAAATAAGTGTTGACTTTCAAAACTGAATGTTTATTTTCTCATTCTATCCTTAATTATGAGGTGAAGAAAATCTCTATTTATAATTAAGAATCAAACTGTATTTTTGTTAATTATAAAACTGTAATAATTATAAATTTCTAAAACTGTATGTATTTTTTACTGTGGACATTGTTTTTTGGTCAAAAGGCATGAGAGATCTCTAATAGATTCCTCAAAATGTAAAATTAAAAGTCAAAATGTTCAGTAAAAATTTAGGTTCATCTCCAACAATTTTCTCTATTTTTGAGATTACAATGTTATTTATATTATTAAAATATTGAACAAATTGCATGAAAAAAGTAACGTACTTTAACTTGATTCCTATTAAAATATAGATACATTAAACTGCTCTTCTTCAGTAACAACAGTAGTAATAGTGGAGTAAAAATGAAAACCATTTTGTTGAGTGACAAAACCAATTGTAGTTGCCAATTGCGAATCATTTCAATGGTATCATAATGAAAAAACGTACCAAAATCACTAAATAAATTTGAGTATCATAATGCATGAGCCCTCCAACAGTGGTTTTTTGTTGTTATCTGCCAATTGGAAGATAGAATATCACTTGTCAAGATTTTAAGCTAAGTATAAGTGGCTGTTTACCAAACGTTTATCTAGGTAAGTGCTTACGAAGTCATATTATCTTACCGGATGAATATGACAAAGACCAAAAATCTTACTCGGTAAGAACGAGACAAAGAACAAGAGTTTTACCCGGTAAGTGAAGACGACGACTCTTACCACGATAAGAGCTTACCAAGTAAATTATTGTATACGGTGTTGTTTTCGTTGAGTAAAATCTTACCCGATAAATAAGTAATAATGTTGAATTTTACCGGTAAGCACTTATCGGGTAAGTTATTGATAAACGACCCCTAATTTTGGATTAAAGTCATACCCGATAAAATAGACAAGTTAATAATGGGTAAATTTTTTAATGCAAAATAACATACGTTGGATTGACCTCAAAATTGTCCATTTTTTAAAAATTATATATATATATATATATATATATCTTTTTAATAAAATGATTTTAGATCTTAGATTCCCATGAAATTAGTCAAGACATATGGATGCTGAATGGACATCCACCGTTAGTAAGTGCTGTTTATTAAATGTTTACTTGATAAGTACTTACCAAGTTATATTACCTTATCGGATGAATATGGTAAGGACCAAAAATCTTACCCGGTAAGAACGAGACAAAGACCGAGAGTCTTACCCGGTAAGTGAAGGCAAAAGTCACGGTCAACTCTTACCGCGTAAATTGTTGCATAGAAAGCCGTTTTTGTTGACTAAAATCTTACCTGGTAAATGAATGATAGTATTGAATTTTACCGGATAAGTGTTTGGTAAACGGCCCCTAAATAGAAGCATTTCATCCTTTTTTACTTAAATTTTTTATGTTTTAGTGGAAATATATTCGTGTAATACAACACGATATATCTCGATTTTAAAGTTAAAAACTGAAACCCTCAATTCTAATTCATGCTTTGTTTATTTTCTATTTCTCTCATACAATAATAAGTTGTAAACTTAAATTTTAACATATTTTAAGTACTAAGTAGACGAAGTTAACATACAACATAAGCAAGACTTCTTGCCCTGTAAGTGAATGAAAAGACTCTTACCGGGTAAAAGGTGCTTATCAATAATCAACTTTGATGGTCAAGAATGTTACCCGGTAAGTGAGGGCGACGACTCTTACCATGGTAAGCGCTTACCGGGTAAATTGTTGCATACGATGCCCTTTTGGTGGACTAAAATCTTACCCGATAGGTAAATGATAGTGTTAGATTTTACGGACAAGTAAATGATAGTGTTAAAATATTAGCCAGTAAGTAAATGATAGTTGACAAACCAAATGTTGTATTTATACCCTAATGGTGATTCTAGACCCTGTTTTCTTGGGAAATCTAACACGACACCATACGTTATAGCAATATAGCTTACCTTACATGCCAAGCCAAGCCAAGCCACACAAAAACCTTCAAAAGGGTATTTCTGTAAAAGATTTGACCGTCGTAAATCCGTGATTATCTGGCAGCGGTCCGTTTCCGGGCCTCAAGGAGATTGTCACTTCCAAACCTGAGACAACAACATTAGAATTTACTCAAACTGATAGATTGTACTAGGATCAGCCAAGAACCATGGCTAGATACCGTGTTTAATTAATGGGTCATTTGAATAAACGACCTTAAATGAGTTTTCAATTAAAATCACGACCTAATTTTCTTTTAACTCAATGACCTTCTGACTCACCCCCTGGTTCAAAACAGTCTTCCCAGTTAAATACGGGTCATTTAGGTATATACCCTTAAATGGGACTTTAATTAAATCCACGACCTCCTTAGCCAGTTAGCCTATTAAAGATAAAATTGCTTCATGCTCGTCATATGGTCATGGATTTAACTAAAATCTCATTTGAGGTTATATACCTAAACATAGGGAGGTTCAACCGAGAACTCAAAACAAGAAAACACAAGAAAGACCAAATCACATGCTATTAACAGAACACGGTCAAAGCAACGGGTGTGTGGGCGACTAGGTTGCGTGAATCAGACATGATTTTACAAATCACATATGATTTGGTTGTTCTCGTGTTTTATTATTTGGTTCTCATTTGAACCTGCCCAACTTAAAGCATACCGTTAAACATAGTCTACTCTCATAACAACTTGGAAACACACGAGAGGGTCAATTTGCAAAATCAACTTCTAGCGAAGGTCATTGAGCTAAATATCCCTTAATTGAATTATACAATCCGACATTGCATCAAATAAATATACCAGCTGCCTTTGCCGCTACAGCTTCTTGAAAGACATCGGTTACGAATAGAATCTCTGATGGCTTGTCGACTCCGAGAGACTCCGAGATTTCGACATAACTCTTTGCTTCTTTCTTGTTCCTGAAATTGGATAAAATGAGGCTTCACAATATATGGATTCAAGATCAAGGGGATCTGGAAAAGAATCAAAATTTTACCCCACTGAGGTGTCAAAAAATCCACACAAGTATTTTCTCAAGTCACCGTAATTTGTATATCCGAATAACAGTCGTTGTGCCAATCTGCTACCACTCGAATAAATGTACACCTGATTACAGATGATTATATAATGAGCAAGATCGAAGATTTCATGAAAATGTAAGGTCGCAAATTAGGTTTGTAGACGAGACGAGATGCTAGTATTTAACTGAATGACCTTCTATGAAAGTCACTTTTGAGGGTATTTTCAAGATTTTATAGGGGCAGACCATTTCACACCAGACCTTCTATAAAAGTCACTTTTGCAAACTAACATTCTAGTGTGTTTTCAAGATCTTACAGGGCATACTATTTTAAACAAGAGATGGGTCATTTGAACGTTACTGAGTTAAAAAAAATAAGAAGGTATTTCTCTGAATTGAAAACTCGTTTGGGGTCATTTACTTTAAACCTTGGCAGGCAAGTCAAACCGTACCAACCCGAGCCAAGCTCAAGCCTAGTAAAACTTAGCAAGCCATGAGCTGAACCCAAACTTAGAGCCCGCAAGCTCAAGCTTGACTCAAGTAAAACCATCGTCAGACTCAAAGGCTTAGCAAGCCATGAGCCGAATCCAAACTTAGAGCCCGCAAGCTCAAGCTCGACTCAGGTAAAACCATAGTCAGACTCAAGAATTAGAACCTACCTTTACACCAGAGGCATGCCATTTTTCAAGAGCTTTAGGAACATCATCAAAAACAACTCCTTTTAGTTCATTTTTCTCAAATCCCGTACGCCAAATGTGCCCCTGCGTCATCAAGTGTTAGCAGCATGATCCGACTTGAAGAGACATGTTGTAAAATCTAAATGCGGTATTTCTCACTTGTAACTGTTTTAACGAAGTAATCTTCCTGTCGGCTTTTATCATTCCTTCAACATTAGCAACCAAAGAAGCTATCACCTCCTCTTTTCCTGCATCATCAGATGGAATAGGAACAGCACCAACAACTCCCTGTTGTAAATCATCTTCTACCTGCAAGAACAATCAGTAAGCCCATCATTATGTGTTTCTTTTAGGATACATGCATCAAAATGCAACAAAGTTTGGTTTAATTCCTATTTAGTATAACTAAAATTTCCTTTCTTAATCGGTGTAACCAAGTTTCAAAATTTCCTATTTTTTACCTATTTTGACCGGTAACCTGCTAATCTTGTAACATTTAATGAAGTGGATACTCGTTTATGAAATGTTTAGAACGAGGTGGACGATAATCTTGATATCCACGCCATTAAATGTTACAAGATCTACAAGTTACCAGTCAAAATGGGTAAAAAGTTAGACAATTTTGAAACTTTTTACACCGATTGAGAAAAAAACTTCTTTGTTACACTAAATAGGAACTAAAACCAAACTTTGTTGATTTAAATCATTTGCCCTTCTTTTTATGCAATATATTGGATTTATAAGAACTTACTTGAGAGCGTAACAACTTGATATCATCTTGAGTATCAACAGTATCATATGTTTCCTCCAAATGCATGCGCACATTGTTGCGGGCATATGGAAAAAGAACATCAGTGACAAATGAAATAGGCGTAGTTGTCCCCTCAATGTCCAAAACGACACATCGCTGCAACACAATTCATTATATTTTTCAGGGAACCATAATAAGCACACAACCTCTTTAACTAGAAACATAAAGTGGCAGGTTTTTTCAATAACTTACCGGGGTCGTGCCAGCCTCATTACTTAACGTAAGCTTCCCTGCCTTAGGAGATGTGTTTGTAGTGCGACGACCCAAAACTCCTTTGGAATTTTGGATGGGACCATGACTAGGAGTCGACCAGTCCAGGCCCAATTGGTGAAGTTTGATCGCGGCATCAAAGAGATAGTGGTAGCATTCTGCCTGATGGATTGTGGATTGTATCAAAGAGTTAAACCAGGATGATACTTTGTTTAAGATTTTAAAAGAGATGCATCTTGATAGATCTTGACTATATATCGCATTAAACATTTTAGGATATAAGTGATTCTTCAGGAAAGAAATGTCGCTCAAACTTGAAGTAAAAAACACAGACCTGAGTTTTGGCACTGACCCAGGAATCACCCCATATATAAATACCATGGTTCCGCACCAGCACAGCGGTTGTTTTTGGGTATGCTTCAATCTGTTGATCATGAGAAAAGTTTTCAGTCTAAAATCACAGTTCCCTCGAGTCAACATACAAAGTTTTGTACATTTGTAAACCGAAAGGTTAGCATGGCTTCTAGGAGTCTATCAAAGAATGAACCTTAAATTCCAGTATAATGTCTGCATCTCCTATATAAACACGCTAATGTAATTTGCATTTTCTAATTGTCAGAAAACATTCCAGGTGAAAATGTGAATCCAAGACAGATACAGTTCCTGAATTTATCATTTATGTAAGACCGTTGTTTTGATGATTGAGTTAACCTGACAAATCAATTAAAATTCCTGCAAGTAGACTTATGTTCAAACGCATTGTCTAGCAGCAAGTTGACCATTATGGTATGATATTTTTCTAGGTTATTGGTCATACACAAAACAAATCTATTCAGCTACTGCAAATAATAACAATCATTCAATTGAGCACAAAAGGTTGCTGAATTGCATAGGTTTCTGTTTTCTTTCTAATACTTTACCTTTTGTTTTCAAGATTTTCTTTTTCTATTATTTACTGGGACTGCCATTTTTCTGCAAGTATGCTGTCCTTTCTCTCTATTCAGAATAGTTGATTGTGATATGTTACCGATGCCCTGATGATTTTCATCTTTTCTGAAACTTTTGCTATCATCAAGCTTTCACCCAACACAAAATAGTTCTACATAAGGATTAGTTGAGTCTTATTCACTTAACCAAGCATTCTACTTTCTCATTTCTGAAAGAATCATATCAGCACATCCTAAAGTGATAATGCAAATGTAGCAACGAACATATACCACATAAGAATAGGTACCATAACCAAGCTCAAAAAGCATACACTTTACTATTGGTAGGATGTATTTCACATGGTGAACGTATATACGAAGTCAAGTGATAACATAAAGGTTAAAGAATCAAATTGAAGTGATAGATCAAAGGCAAGAATAAGTGACGAGATAAAGTTCAAGGATCAAATTAAAGCAATTGATCAAGGCAAAAGGCAGAAAATAACATACAGCTGCAGCAAGCGATTCTGTCAACTCTCTCTCATGGGCAGTGTTTTCGATTATGGGAACCACAAGCTCATCATAATAGCCATGCCCTTGAATTCCTTTTATCATTTCCATGTGAGTGACCTGTGAAAAAATAGCAAATGAGAAGCCACAACAAGATGAATAATAGCTCAATGGTGCATCTGTGGCATCAAAATCACAGTTAGTTTTAACCGTCCATTAACCCAACTGGCAGTGGTTGTAGCTGTGGGTTCAATTGTTTCAGAAAAAAAGTAAAATTGTATGAAAATTCTGCAATGAAGAAGCCTTATGCTGCCAATCATCCTAGAACGAGAAAAACATATGAAAAATATATAATTTTTAAAGATTATATGATCATAAGAAACTCTTTCGGAGAGCAACCAACTTCAAGTATTACCCGAAACTCTCTTGCCAGAGGATCAATCATCGTCACGAGACAAGATTCCATTCCATGACTATGGATAACTGCACCGGCATTACGCCTATCGTAAGCCTGAAAGATAACAAGAACATGTGTCATCTTCCTCAACAGAAGGTAACTAAGGTCAAGATCTTAATACCCAGATAACAATCATATTGGCAAAAATGAAATAAAATTGAAAACAGTTATCCAAGAATCAAGCTGCTTTTGATTTCTAAGTACCTTCATGAAAAGAGGGGCACAATCCGAACATTTGGGAGGTTTGTGAGGGTAAGGCTTTGGCAATGGGGAAAAGAGGATAGATCCACTTGGAGATAACACATACATGTCGTCTTCTACCATTCTTTCCTTTTGCACACCTAATATACCATTCATAATACCCTAATTTCAAATTTCATAAAATTCAAAATTCTCTAGAAAAATAATCGCCACATAAATATATTTTCTGTAAATATAGACAAATTCACACAATCACACGTGTATATAGAGTGTATCAAAAGAGAGAGAGAGATACCGGAGGGGGACATGACGATTAATTGGTCGGATTTGCAAACGGAATCGTCGTGAACTTTGACAGTGATGCTTCCGCCGGTGCCGGAGACCCACCCTAGGTTGTAAAACTGACGGCATAGCTCAGCAATGAGTGATTTGGTTTGTTTAACGTGAGAGCCTTCTAGGTATGCTTGGGATGTTGTGGCTATTTTCATGCCGTTAGCTGCCGCCATGGTTAGCTCCGGTGGTTGCGTCGCTCTTCTGTAATTCTGCTAGGCACGTGAGAGAGGGGATGCTGCGGAGTGGCAAGACATCGTGAACAGTGGCAAATAGGGTGCTCGCACCATCCCGAACTATCCGATCAATATAACTCTAACCCGGCCCGACACGAAATAACCCAGTCTTTAATGTCTAATCGAGTTGTAAAAATTAAAAATCTTCAAACCATAGGTATTAGGTTGAAATTGAGATACTATTATTTGAACTCAAACTAATCCAACTCAATGAACCCCATATCCTTGTATTACTTGGATTTAATATGATTGTTGAGTTTCTATTAATATATACATTAGACAATTATATTATCACGTACCCTTTGCATATATATATATTTTCAATTTATTCTCCATCTTTATATAACTTATTTATATAAATGTTTAGTAACTGTGACCATATGTATGTAAATTAAGAAAATTAATTGAATGTGATATACGTAAAATTTAAGAAGTATGTATAAGTTGTATCAAATGATTTATGATAAAAAAAATAAATTATGAATAGAAAAATAACATATTCAATGTTAGAAAAATATTTTAATATACCAAAATATCAATCCAACCAAACTAACCCAACCAACGGTTTAGGTTGGGTTGCAATTTGGTTTTAGGTCGGGTTAAAAAATTTCAAACCGCAAGCATTGAGTTAGGTTGTTCAAATGTCTTCAACCCGATCAAATCAATCCATTAGCACTTCTAGTGCAATTTTGTAAACCAACTATTTCTACATCAAACTTACCAATTTTATTGGTGTTGATTATATTTGGTTGATAGTATTAAGTTAAGAATGTAAACTTGATTGTTACGAGATATTGGAATTCATGTACCACGATAACATGGTATCGACTTAAAAAAACCCTTAAAAATAAAAGCCTAAAAAATAATTTGATAATCATTCATCTAGACAGTACGTATAAATACATACAATTAATTAAAGTTGTTTTTGGTTTTTATGCACATGTACATACCAGACAAATTGCTTATAAATTACTTGTATGCATATATGCATACCGTCCATATGAACGGTTATCAAGTTGTTCCTCAAATTTTTAATTTTTTTGTGGTTTCCCACCCTACCGATTTATTTAATTATTTATTAGTTTTTTTTATATATTTTATATATAATAAATATTATTCATTTTATTTTTACTTATTTTGTTTGAACATTTGAATGTCTGCAAGTTTTATTCTTTGCTTTAGAAATCCATCACATGTGTTATCTAAAAACTCAAAATTTAAATAAAATGACAAATTTTCATATATAACTCAAAATTCGTATAAAACAAATACCAACTATAGTTTTTCTTTTAAGTATATAATATTTATATACGACAAATGCAACAAATAAACTCACATACCCTCCTCACCTATGGTGAGGTTTGAACCCCTGACCTCCTAGGAGGCCAAGAGCTACGATACCGCTAGGCCAAATACCCTTTGGTAACAAATACCAACTATAGTTGGTTGGTACACGGTATAAAATTTTACATATCAATTATAATTGATTTAGTACACGGTATTACGCAAGTCAATCATGCTAGAATCATATTTTTGGGTCGTTTACCAAACGCTTATATGGATAAAACATTTACCAAATCACATTACCTTACCGGATGAATGTGATAAAGACCAATAATCTTACCCGGTAAGAGCGAAACAATGCCCAAGAGTCTTACCCGGTAAGTGACGGCGACGACTCTTAACACCGTAAGCGCTTACCGGATAAATTGTTGTATATGATGCCGTTTTGGTGGACTAAAATTTTACCCGATGAGTAAAGCGCTAGTGTTAAATTTTACCAGTAAGCACTTACATGATAAGTGTTTGATAAATGACCCGTTAATTCATAAAGCTGGATTTCACGAGTTGATGACACTAGTATTTACATAATTTTGGTCAAATAATAAAAGTGAATACAATGGAGTAATTTAACTGTTTTTGACTGATTTTCATTCATGATGCTTTGAATCGAGCAATGATGATGTCGCAGGCTGTGACAAAGTCTACAAGCTTAAAGTTCATTGGTCAGATCTTTCTGTTTGTTGAAGGAATATTGTTAACTGTTATTATTAAGATGTATACATGCCTGTATCAAAAAGCCGAGAACATATAAGAATACATTTAATCAGATGTTGGTTGGCAACCAAAATATAAAAAATTATGATGGTCAAAATACATAAAAGAACTACTCGAGCCCGATCTTAATAATTCTCGAGCTCGAGTTGATCTTGAATGCAAACCAGAACTCATTCCAGTTAACGAGTCAAGCATTATAACACCAACGTTCGACTCAGCTCGTTCGAAAACTCGATTCAGTTTTTCGAGTTGAGTCGAGCCGAACCGAGCGATTTGAACATTCTCGTATATTTATCAATCATACAATAAAAGTATAAAAATTATCGAGCTTAGGCCGATAAATGAGTTAATCGATCGTGAGTTCGAACCCATAAATGAGCATCGAGCTCGAAAACTCAAAAATATTCGAGCTCGAACCCTATATTGAAAAAGTTAATCGACCTTGAGCTTAGTGTGTAGTTTTTTGAGTCCGACCCAATTAACATACTATTCGACTCGTTTATACTCCCACATAGACACCTGATGCGGACCGGGGCATGGCTTCATAGGAAGGAGACGACACGGAGGCTGTGTTGCACAAAAGGGAGCGGACAAGCACCAATGCTATAGCAATGGGGTCGTGGAGGGTTTTTATAATGACTCGTGCTATATAAGTTCTATTAGATATGTTTAAAAGCATACACCTAAATTTTTATTATGTGGGGGTGTTTGGAATTGCTTATAAAAACAACTTATTGACTTATTTCGGTGTGACACAGGTAATACGCACTTTTAGGTGTTTGGATAAACAATTTATACCGATGCCAAACCGGTAATAAGGAGTTTTTAAAAAATTAAGCCATTCTGACTTATAATAAGGTGGTGTTTGTTTTAAAAAAAAAACTCTTATTTGCAATTCAGACCGTTTGTTTTTCTTTTTATTTCAGAGCCACTTATCACTTATTTTCCTCTTAAAAATTAAATGATAACCTAGCCACTTATTTTCCTTTTAATCCTGAAGACTATCCAGAGAACCGATTTCTACTTCATCATTCGATCGACTTCATCCTCCCTACCGTCTCAATCGATTGACTTCACCCTCAATCGCCTCTGGTGGCTTCAAATCGACCCAAATCAAGAGGGTTTTATTCTCTGTGGGTTTTTGCCACTGCGTGTTTTCGTTCCTGTGCAAACCAGTAGTTGTGCACCTTTATCCTCATGAATCAAGGTATTTTCGTCCCTGTAGTTTTCATCATGATGGAGATTTGCTTCGATTTTAGAGATGAATTTGGGCGTTGGATTTTAGAGAATGGTGGTGGACGGTGGTTGATGGTGGTGGGATAAGGGTGGAGATTGAGGATGAAAGACTTGATCCGGAGGAGAAGGAAGAATTAAAGGAATCTTGGAATATAAACAGAAGTGAAATAAGAAATTATACATATCCATATGTTTTGTTGGTTATAAAAGCAAACTATTGATTCAGATTTTAGACGTTTGTCAGTTTACAAAAACAAACAGTTTGACTGATTCAGATTTTAGACTTCAATACCACCTCTTAAAAATCAGAAATAAAATCAGACTTCAGACTTCATGGGCTTTAAAAAAAACAAACGTGACCTAAGTTTATATAAGCTGACTGAATTAGTCAAATTACTATTTTACCCTAGTCCCCAATTTGGGGGTATATGACCACGCCTTTTATCCATCCACCTTCCATGCCTTCCATCTCCAACAATGGGGAAAGGCACCAATCCGTTCGTCAAGAAGAAACTCTTCGAAGATCAATTCCAATTCCTCAGACAATACATAGGAAAACCCTTGGCCTTTTTGCTAGACATACCAGTTCAACTTGTACAGGCTCCTTTCCTTATCGCTAATGACATTTCCGGCTCTGCTCCTCGTGGCTTTGGTATCCCCGAATTCATCTCCAAGCTCTCCTATTCTGCAATTTTTGTAAGTTTGTATCACTTCCTATCGTTATTGATTTTATTTCCAATGAATTGCGCTATTAAGGTTTTGTTGAATTGGGGTTTTCTAGTGGGACACTTTCTACTGCCCTTGAGTTCATGTTTTAACTTTCATTCTATGCAATTTTTGTAAAATTTTCTCATTTTTGGCTGAAAACCATAGAGGGTTTGGTTGAATTTGGAGTTGTTATGTATGGTGTTATTGGTTGTTTATTTTCAGGCGGTTGCTGCTCTTGGGACTTGTGATATCGCACTGGAGTTAGGGAAGAAAGTGATATGCCAAAGGTGCTTCTTGATTTGATTGATTTTAGTACTTGTTCTTGTTTCCGTTTGCAGATTGAAGGTATATTTGCTGATGATTTTAGGGGTTTGATATTTTGATTATATATATAGCTTACGGAAATTACATTTTATCACAGAAATTTCAAATTGATGTAAGCGAACCTATATGCATAAGAAAGGCTTTTGACTTGTAATGAAATCTCTATCAAACAGCGGTGGATTTAGGCAAATTGATAGACCATGTAAATATACTGTCTTCTTGTAAGCTCGCTATTGTATGTGTATGACGGCGGATCCTAAGGGTGCGATTGGTATGTGGACTGGAATGGACGGGCGAGAGTGAGGTAGGCATGAAAGAATTCTGAAAGGTTTTTGGGTTTTAATTTCTCATGGCTAGTTTAGTAAATTACCAATCTTGTCCACTCTCTAGAAAAATGCATTGATGTCCCACTTAGGTCATGTCTTGTCCAAGTTTAGTGTCACGTCAAACGTGGGATAACAAGTTTTTGTATTGTCTGGTCTCGCATACCAAACACACTCTATCAGTATAAATGAACCCAATATATCCCATATAGAGGTAGCGTATGAGGAGATAACTGATAACTGACCTTGTTTTGGCATCAAACTGCAGGAACTGTCAAACTTGCAATGGGTGGAACGCTCTACGGTGTACCATGTGCAGAGGCACAGGGAAGGTCATGTACCAGGTCAAAAACTACAGATTAAGAAGGTACATTTGTCATACCTACATATATATATATATATATATATACATATTTATATATAGGTCCGATTCAGGGGAAAACCGCAAAATAAAAAACTAAGGAACACCCTGGTAAGTGTTTATCTGGATGGTATGCACATGTGCATACAAGTAATTGATGAGCAATTTGTCCGGTATGCACATGTGCATAACATGCACACATATGCTTAAAAACCTAGAAACAACTTCAGTTACTTATATGCACATGTGCATATCGTCCAAATGAATGATTATCAGGGTGTTTCTCAGGTTTTCATTTTTTTGAGAGGTTTCCCCTTATATATGTGTGTGTGTGTGGTGCAATGCACTTATAAATTATAATGAGCATATAATGAATCTTTTTTGTGATCTTGATTTCATTATGACCATATTTAGGCTTCATGAATTTTTTTTGACTATTTTAAAAAATTTCTTCAGTGGAGAGAAACCAACAGCTGAGGCTATTGCGGATGCCATTACTGAGAATAGAGCAGAGCTGGTGCATCTTCCAGCTACCATGGATCTCAACGTTCCACTGCCGACCAAAGACTGTGAGACCTGTGATGGATCCGTGAGCACCCTACATAAAAATGAACTTAGAGATTCTTTAGTGCTCCCACCTAATCTAGCTCACTAATGTTGCAGGGCGTGATGAAGTGCTATGAGTGCAAGGATAAATTACAAGTTAGGATCTCTGCTGATGACGTGAGTACTTAAAGCACATCATCTGGCTCTATGAATTTTGTTGCCTCTTCCTGAACATTATATATACATATATATGTATATATATATATATATAAATCTTATGGCTCTATGAATTTTGTTGTTATCTCTTCCTGAAAATTATATATATATATATGTATAATATATATATATATATATATATATATATATATAGGTGGAGGTTCAAGCGCAAACACCATCATTTATGAAAATGTGAGAACGCCCATATCACATGTGATAATACACGTGAGGAGACCTGGTGGAGTGCGGGCGACTTTGGCCCACGTCCTAGGTTGCGCTAGAGGTTGCCCATTTCACATGTGATGGACTACAATATCACATGTGATTGACTATAATGGAAGAGTGTTCTCACGTTTTTGTAAAATGCTGGTGTTCTAGTTTGAACCCACCCTTGTATATATACTTAAAAAAACTATATATATATATATATATATAGAGAGAGAGAGAGAGAGAGAGAGAGAGAGGGGAGTTAGGATCATGGAAGAAATTTTCACTTTCATTAGAAGGTGAGAACAAGTGAATATACCTTTATATTGTGTGAAGATCGTAACTTTCACATCATCTTCAACTTAGTATTGGAATGTTACATTATATTGTGTAAATGTTTATCTAATATAAAGGTATCTTCATTCTTCACGGTTCTAATGAAAAACCTCTACACAAATATAAGGATTTCTCACGTTCTCTCGAAAAAGGGTTGTTCTCACAGGAACCCAACCCATATATATATGTATATATGTGTGTGTATGCATCATCTTGATTGGATATAGAAGTCTTAGACATGTTATTGATCTTTTGCAGTCAAAGTTACTCGGTTCATATAGTTATGAGAAACCAAACTAGTGAAGACTTCGATTTCAGATTTCTTGCCTTTCCACTCTCAACTTTTTCTCGTCTTCTTTTATTGCTGTTATTTTGGTAGTAACATATAGATGTATCAGTTCTCAGCGCTTATGTCTATTCACTCTGCAGATTATTGAGCCTCCATGGAAAGCATACAATATAATGAAAAAAATGGACTACCCTTATGAGGTAGGTGTCATGATTCTACACCCATCCCCACCGCCTGTACACAGCTATATATATATATATATATCATCAATTAGGGTGCGTTTGGTACAATGGACATGACGGAACAAAACAGGGATTATTGTTCCACGTTTGGAAGAACTTCTATGTGGAACAGAGAGTGGAACAAGTGTGTTCCACTTCCACCCCCACCTCATGGAACAAGGTGGAACAGACCTATATTTTACCAATATAACCTCACAATAAAACTTAATTCTATTCTAAAACATCAAATACATCTCCCTCTTTTACTCTTTACATTTTATTCTTTCTTTAAATTTTATTTATGGTATTTTATGCTTTTTAAACTTTAATTTTATTGTCCTCAAAATATTATTTTTATACGGTTTCTATATTTTGGTTAATTTATGTAATTTATTAAATATTAATAATAATAAAATAATATAAAAAATGTATAAAATACAAATTGGAAACTACATAGACTTTTTATTTGGTGTCATTTTAATTGTCTTGATGAAAACTTTCTAATGATATATTTTGTTATAAAAATATTTACTTTATTATAATTTAACTAAATTACATAAATTAATCAAAATATATAAAAGATGTAAACAACTCGTTAGAGGTAATTTGGTCATTTTATTTGTTGTCCTGTCCTATAACTGTTCTGTTCTGTCCTGTCTTGTTCTTTCCTATCCTGTCTGGATACCAAACGCACCCTTAATGGTGTGTTGTGGCTAGTGTTTTTCCAATAGTTTTGTACCTTTGTTGAGTTGTTTCAACAAACATGCCTCTTTAAACGATTATTTAAAATGTTCTTTCAGCATATTATTGACAGCATGAAAGACCCCAGCATTGCTGCGTTTTGGTTGATAACGATGCCCCAGATTATGGGAGGATTCGAATATGATGACGAGGTCAAGCAGAAAATTTGGTGGCAATACAAGGTTCCTCTTTTCTGCTTTCCTAACTGTTTATTAACCTCAAAACGCATTATTGATGGAAACACTCACTCTAACTTTTTGGAACATTTTTGGGTAGATGGCAAGTTTGCGTACATCCCACTTGGGGTGTAAACAAGCAGAGCCAAGTCGAGTAGTAGGTTTTTCAATGTAGGGCTCGAGCTCGAATATTTTGAGAGTTATCAAGCTCGAGCTTGATGCTCGTTTATGGGCTTGAATTCGCGATCGATTAACTCGTTTATTGGCTCGAGGTTGATAATTTTTATATTGTTATTGTATTATTTAAGAACATCATATGAGTATGTTGGGCTAGAAAAAGTATACGCTTGAATGGCTCCTCTCATTAATCGAGCTTTTGAACAAGCCGAGTTGAACATTAGTTTTATGAAGCTTGACTCATTAGGTTAAACGAGTTCTATTTTGTGTTCGAGATCGACTCAAGCTCGGGAATTATTTTACTCGAGCTCGAGAATTATTAATCACGAGCTCGAGTAGCTCGTTAAGAGCTCGACTCATTTACACCCCTACTTTCCACTCCCGAATCTACTTCTGGGATATACTGGGCTCTGTTTGAATTGGTTTTATTACAAATTAACCATGAACCATTTTTTTTTGGTTGACTATAGTTTTTTGTTTAATGTCCATCAGGAAAATATGCGGTATGATCAACTTCGGGAAGCCGTAGCCAAGAGAAAACCTGGATGGGAGTACTTGCAAGAAGTGAGACAAATTTGTTAAACTCGAAACTATGTTATTCGAGTGAGTAATTATGTGTTCATTATTGAAACTCAGGGGTTGATCTCGATGGATCCTGAACGTGCCAGGAGTGATCCGGTAATAGTGAAGAACATTCCCTACTACAAAGCAAAAAACGCGTTAGAAACAGAAGTGATGAAGCTTGATCCACCACCACGACCTCAAAACTGGGGGGTATGTGTTCGTTTGTCAAGCTAGCGAACAAACGAGAGTTATTCTCGTTTTCTGACGTTGTCGAATTGAGTATGCAGGAGCTCAACGTTCCACTAAGCGCGTCTTCGTGGAGTGAGGAGGACCTAAAAGATCCTAAAAAGCTGTACGAAAAGACGGTTCTTTTGAATGCGCAAAGAGAAATTGCGGAAAAGATTTTGGATGATCAATGGGAAACGACATGGCGCCAAGAAAAGGTTATAATTAACTAGTCAAACTTGTATGTGAAATTGTACCAGGCACTCGGAAAGTTGTGTGAATATTGAAGCCAGGGGTCTTCAATGATACAACCACTCTACTCTCTGGGATAGAGGTAAGGTCTGAGTATATCATACCCCAAGACCCCACATCTGGGTGAGATATACCGGTTTGTTTAGTTGGGTGAATGTTGAAGCCATAAACAGCTGCTCTACACTTTGGGCTAGAGGTCAGACTGTCTATATCGTACCTGGGACCCCACTTCTAGGGGATATATATATAGGCGAAGAATCGTGTGAGAAGGAGAGTTAAAGGTGAGAAAGGATCTGGACCTTTGATCAACGGAATCTCAAACCCACCCATGAATCGTGCTTGATACGGGGATTGATCCGGTGCATCTCATCCTAATGTGCATCCAAGGGTGGAGATCCCTTCTTAGCTTCTCATCTCAACTCTCCTCACCGGAAATCAACCCTATGTATATACATATTTTTATATACGTATATATATACATATATAGGGTCAGGTTTAGGGGAAAACCTCAAAAAAAATGAAAAACTGAGGAGCACTCTGATAATTGTTCATTTGGACCGTATGCACATGTGCATACAAGTGCATAAAACCAAATAAACAACTTCAGTTACTTATATGCACATGTAGATACGGTCCAAATGAACGCTTACCAAGGTATTCTTCAGTTTTTCATTTTTTTGAGGTTTTTACCTAAACTTCCCCCCTCTCTCTCTCTCTCTCTCTCTCTCTCTCTATATATATATATATATATATATATATATATATATATATACTCATGTACAAAATCATATTGGTCTAAAAGTCGTCCACTTCCATTTTTTTGACGATAATGTAAAATCACATGTGATTTTGTACATTAACGACCTTGTTTTCTTAAATAGTTAGCGTTCTCGTTTGAATCTTCCTCAACATTCACACACACATATATATACATACATACATATACAATATATATATATATAGGGTCGGGTTTAGGAGAAAATCTAAAAAAGTTGAAAACACTGTTCATCTGTACGATATGCACATGTGCATACAAGTAATTTGTATGTAATCGTCTTGTCGGCACATGTGCATAACATGCACACGTGTATAGAAACCAAACTTTAATTACTTGTATGCACATGTGGATACTGTGTAGATGAATGGTTACTAGGGTCCCACTTCTTGGTGAGATATATTGGTGCAGTTTAGTTGTGTAAATGTTGAAGCCAAGGGTCTTCATGTATACAACTACTCTACTCCTTGGGGGTAGAGGTCACGTCTATGTACATCACACCCTTGGACCCCACTTATGGATGAGATATATTGGTTTGGTTCGATTTAGTTTATTTGTGTAAATGTTGAAGCCAGGGGTCTTTAGGGATACAACCACTTTATTTTTTACGACATATGTCAAGTCTTTGTACATCATACCCTCCGGCCCCACTTCTGGTTGAGATATACTGGTTTGGTTTATTTGTGTGAATGTTGGTGTTGTGCGTCTTTCAGTTGAACAAGATGTTGGAAGAGAAGCTACAACCATTCATTCAGGAAATCGACAATGGTGTTCTTCCGCATCCAATACTCGCAGGCTCCCAGAAAAACGATCAGAAGGTTCATCCCTCTTCTTGTGCAACATCCATTTTCATTTTTGTTTAATTTTCTTGATTTATTTTCATACGTGAACAGAGGAGTCATCGATCGAGAAGATGGTGGTTGTTTTGATATGACGAGAGCCGTGCCGCCTGGTGTTCTAAAGAGCGTTAGATAGTCGAGTGACGTCTTGGTATTTAGTCGCTAAGCGTTTAAATCTATTTTAGATCGAAACATGTATTAATGTAAAATTTTGATTCTTTACCTTTTGATTCACGCTTTTATTATTCTTGTAAAAATGCTAAAATGGCACCATACTTTTGGTATAATCGAATGATTTAGACGAAATGTGGTAAATATAATGATTGTTTTTGCATGCATATATATATATATATATATA